TCTATTTTGCAATGAACGTGTGCGTTTCTTAATTTTTTAAGAAAATAAGCTCGATTTGTAAGCTTAAAACAGTGCACAAATGAATTTCCTGGGGCGCGCTGATCACACACATTCTAACCCGAGCCACAGTTCAGCCACGCCAATCCACAATAATTCTTACGAATATCGTCAACTTGAGAGCACCCCGCGTACGTCACATCACACAAATACATCTCATTCACGTTCCGTGATGTATACACGCGATTGGCGTTCAGCGCTACGCACACCACCTACATACCGAATTGGAAATCGTACATTRCGTTTTAATTTCCATTTTGCGCTACTAATCATCTGCGCAATTGTATTATGCTTCCTATTTGCTTACGTTCGAACGGGATCACAATCTTCATCGGATGCAGCGTGGCTCAAAGCCTATAGTAGTTCGACACACAGTATTTCATCTGATAAAACGCCATTCAATGGCGCTGCTGAGGGTTATATCGCTAAATATCCGCTCACAGCTCCATTTGTTGGGCATGCCAACGAGATAGTATATCGGATAGCCATAGTAGCTGATTTAGATACCAATTCGAAAGTGCTTAAAAAAGATGGTAGCACTGTATGGCAAAGTCGTTTGAAGAAAGGGCATTTAACATATCGCAGGTCTAASCCAGAAATTACGATTCAATGGGATGGCGGTGAACCTGTAATATTGGAATCTAGCTTTTCGCTAAAAGGACGTGGCATGGAATTATCGGAACTCGTCACATTTAATGGAAAACTACTTAGTTTCGACGACCGAACGGGCTTAGTGTATGATATTACTAATGATAAACCAATTCCATGGATTATATTGCTTGATGGAAATGGGCGAAATASTAAGGGTTTCAAAGCGGAATGGGCYACTGTGAAAGATCAACAATTATATGTTGGTTCGATGGGCAAAGAGTGGACGACAAGTGCTGGTGAATTTGAGAACGAAAATCCAATGTATGTGAAGGTAATATCACCCAGTGGGGAGGTACGTTCSTTAGACTGGGCATTCAATTTTAAATTCTTGCGTCAAGAAGCAATGCAAATAAATTGGCCGGGCTATATGATACACGAGAGTGGTGTGTGGTCACCCGTGCAAAGGAAATGGTATTTTCTGCCCAGGCGCTGTTCACGTGAAAAGTAATTTGATGGTGTAATACAACTAAAAATATAATATATTAAATTAATTTCCTTTCTAGATATAATGAAACSCGCGATGAGCATATGGGTTGTAATTTGCTCATATCAGCTGATGAGCGTTTTACAAATGTCGACACCGTTACCTTGGACCYTGCAAACACGACGCCAACACATGGCTTTTCGAGTTTCAAATTTGTGCCAAATACTGAAGACAAAATAATTGTAGCCATTAAAAGTGAAGAGTTAGACGGTAAGACATCGACATTTATTACGGCATTCGATAATGAAGGCCACACGATATTACCGGAGCAACGCATCGATACTGATTTGAAATATGAAGGCATCGAATTTATTTAGTATGTGGCATGTAAAAGAACTGCAAGCAGTATAAAATAGTATTTTTTTTACACAAAGAAGCTTTAAATGAAATACTTTGCACTACTCATGTTGCAGAATCTGTCAACGTGTTAAATAAGCGCTATAACAAAAACAACAACAAACCGAATCTGCGCCCAACTGTATAAATACCGTATTACACGAAGTTATTTAGCGTATTTATTGTTTTTATCTTGTACTTTTCATTTAGCTAAGAGAACGCTTACTTTTGATATTATTCTTAAGCAATGTACTATCGTAAAATATGACTACTTGTGTATAAGATTTCGCAAAAACATAAGTAAAAAATGTGATCTATCGTTACCATCTAACGCATTATTTTGTAAATATTAGAACTAAGTAAACAGTTAGATAACATACATACAGCAATGCTCGAAAATAGTAAATAGAAAGGGCATATGCAATAAATTTAGGCACAGCAAATTTTAGTTACAAATTTATAAATAAAAAACTTTCAGAAATAACCGAACTTATTAAATGTAATTTTTTCAATTGTTCGCTACAGTTTCCATTRCTCCAGCTGCATCGAGGCCAGCAACAATTAAATCCTCCTTATCAACACGCCCCTCTTGAGCGCGGATACCCAACCTATTTAAAAAAAAATAATAATAAATAAAAAAAATAAATTACAATAAATAAATACAAAAATAAAAAAATTTAGGGTATCCAAATGTTTGCAATACCTATTTGCGTTGTGATTGACATTCCAAAGCTCTGGAAGATATTTAGGCTTCATTGTGCTTAGGAAGTGTTGCCGCCACAGCTTTTCCAGTTCACAGAGTCCACCGAATTCGTTTTGATACATATGGACCACRCACTCTCCATGATGGCAATAGTTTTCATTGTTTCGCCTAACAAATAAATATTAAACTGTTAAAACTGTTTCTTTTACAATTGCTGTTATTTAATTACGTTGTATCAATTTTCGCGGCCTCTACAATTAATTCATTCGTTGGTTCTGTTTTGTAATGATTAAATAGAATGAGTATTAATTCCTCACGTCGCTCTGCTGGTATTTCATTTTGACTTTGTAATAAGGCTCGCGCCGCRGACTTAACTTGCCTATTAGAGAATAATAATGAAATAGAAAGTGCATATGAAATTTATAAATTTCTCCGACTTTCAAATGCAGTAATTACTTAAGCTCTGGTAACTCGATGTACTTCACAGCTGATTCTTCTTTAGTGAACGGCGCGTTGCATTGTTCCGCCAGTTTGGTGCGCATTTTCAAGTCGTAAATATTACTAAGCTGATGACATTCTGGGCATAGTAGGAGCACATCATGTGATGTATGCGATTTCATAACCACTAAAAATATATAAATTGTATAAGTTACAAATATCATACAACTAATGCTTCACTATTACAATGTTAAATTATAATTTCGCACGAAAGGTATAATGCTTTTCCGTATATGCAATATTCCGCTCATATTCAAATATTAATGTTCTGTTCTTTGTACATCGGCAGTGATGACTTCTAAACTGTGTTTAAAAACTGTGGTGGACTGAGGTGAATCCTAGAGAGCATATTTACAATTCGTTACCTGGGAAATGTTTTCTGTATTCGCGGGGGACAACATTTTTGCGTGATAAGGGATCTCTGCGACCGCATACTACACAACGGTTTTCTTTCGGATTCTGATAATATCGCCCCACATCTCCGACAGCTCGTCCCGATGGCTCGAAATTCAAACGCACAGTTAACGGTGTATTCGATATGATCTCGCCCAAACTTTGATCTACATACCATTGAGCTTTCTTSGCATCTATAGTACAAAGCAGTTCACCATCTGGTGCCTGCAAATTGCAGTTATCGTACAGTGCTTTACTGCGTGTGCTAATGCTGCGAGTTTGCAGTGGCTTTATTTTTGACTTTTTCCCAGCAACTACGGCAGCTTTACTTCTCTCGATGCTCGCACAGTTGTTTAAAAATCCTTCCTTGAAGCGAACATCAAAAAATGGTTCCAACCGTTCTTGAATATTATCGAAGTTCAACTTGTTTGGTTTCCAAAACGAACTGAAACATAAATTTGTCTTAGTATTTCAATACTCAGTAATGTATAATTCAACCAACGTTGGTTCCAACTTCTTCACGAGCTTGTCAAATATTTTAACTGCGACCAATGCATCGTTTGCTGCATACTGCAATTGCTTTTCGTTTAGTACTTTGGCTTCCCAATCTGAGCAAGATAATCTCCAATTTTTATCCAGTTGCACGTTTAGCAAGCTTTTTGCCATTTTAGCTAAACCTTCTGGTTTTTGTCCAACCAAGGCAGCTAAATATCGCAAATCGAATGTGCTTGCCACACCTACACCATAGTCAAAGGCAAGTTTGTGTGCATCATCTTGTGGAGCTACACCCAMCTTTATAACTTTATCATCTTCGAGCAGATCACGGAGACCTTTTGGTATTTGCTGTAAGTTGCAAAGGCGGAATAACGCGCAAAGTCCTTTCTGTGAGGATAACTGCAACAGTGCTACAGGGCGACGCTTGCCCCCCACTGTCACCCACTCGCAATCGAAGCCGAGCACTTTATATTCATGGCAGTGGCTAAAAAATATGTAAACAAATAAATGATAYATATCAATTTTTGTATAAAAGCTTACCGCGTTAATGTATCTAAAACATGTTGGCATTCATCAAGTGTTTCAACAACGGTTATTTGCTTTCCTGCCAAAGGGTTTCTGTAGTTGCGTATGTAGGATATAATACGTGCTCTTTGACGAAMAACAAGACATAACAAACCAATGCCAGCCGCTGTGACTAGGAAYGATGTTTTGGTAGTGAATAGTGTGCGTTTTTGTAAATCAGGCATATTTAAATTAATAATTTTTTATTATATTTGTAACGAAGTGAGAATTTTGAGTGTTTTCAAGAAAATGTGCAAAACTAGTGCGCTTCAAACTGTCACCATATTCAGCTGTTTTTTTCTTATCAACAGCTGTTCAACAATAAAAGCGTGTCGGTTCACAATTAAGTATTTAAAAAAATTAAAAAGCGTGAGCTAATGCATTTATTAACTGATTTCTATAATTTATTTTAAAAGTGTGCTATTTCTCTGTTCATGACATAATGATTTCGAAAGTTTGCRATCCACCCAGTTGTATATATGTAAATAATAAATTCTAACTCTAACTATCGAAATTAATATAAAAAATTATATATACATTTACGATTAGAGATAAACTTAACAGTTAATTTAATAACAAAAAAATTATATTCACCCTGTCTGCAATAGTATTAATTTAATGTATACAAATACAATGTATTGTTTATGAATAGGATCCATATTAAACACTTCACGCAAATTTATTTATTGATAGATTTCATTTAACCGTGTTATATTCAGTACATGATGTAATTGTGTATTATTTATTTTATACTTTAAAGATTTTTACTTTTATATTTATTTAAATGCCAGCCTCGTTTGAATTAATTACAATATTAAGTGTAGTTTGTTTGGTTTTGCTAACGTATATTAGTTGATTCGTTTCTTAATTATTACTTTTAATATATTACTACGTAGATGCAATATTATAATTATCATCCTATGAGAGAAACCACAATGCGCTTCTATTATTAATGTCGTAATATTTGTATGCTCCATTAATATTATATGTTTTTAATTTAATAATAAATATCGTAGTCGTTTTCTAGCCGAGGACTCCCGTGGTAGCGACAATGCCCATTTCTTAAGCGCTGTCAAAATAACTGAACTCACTACTAACAAGGCGCCTAATAGGGAATAGCCAGTTGGAGTTTCCCCAAAAAACATGATTTGCCATATAAATGCGAATACAATATCTGCACAACGTGCAATAGCCACCGGTCCAGCTTGCTCCATTTGCAGTGACAATGTGAGTAATATTTGACCCAAAAAGCTAAATATACCAAGTACCACCACAAGCCAACGATCTCGTCCACATGCTGGCCAGCACAATGCGCCTATCGAACCGCACACAATAAATGTATACACCAGGGCAAAAGCACCAAAATTTGTCATTATGACGGAGAAATGTAGCCCTTTGAGGGCTCTAAGCAATATATACACATTGGCACCAAATAATGTGGATGATATGGCAGCAACTGGACCCCAAATGTCGTAGGTTTTCCCTGAAAAGCGTTCAGTCTCCATTGAAGGGGCAGCATCACCAAAGACAAAAGGTGGTCGTGTAATTAGCACTACGCCAACTAGAGTAAGTAAGATGGTGACGATGTTGAAGAGGCTGCAATGCTCCTTGAGAAACACTCGCGCAAAAATTGCAACAAATACWGGCGTTGAGAAGATTATAACACTAGCATCGGCGAGTGGCATATGACGAAAAGCGTAAAAACTTAACATTAAACCGGTCGTGCCCATAAAGCAGCGTAACAGTAATATCACACGTTGGCCTTCGGGAAATACCGGGTATCGATTGTAGACAACGATGGGTATTGCAGGAAGCAGTACACCAATAAACCTGTCCATGAAAGTAAACGAAGTCTTAATAAAAAGTAAACAAAATGTATAAACATGTGWACTTTTATGTATGTACATATATATATTCATGAAATAGGCACATCTCACTCACCGAAATGAAGCAAGCTCCATTGGATTTACGTCCACGAGGCCCTTCACTATCACCGAACATAGTGAGAAAAAAAGCGAGGAGAGTGTAGCTAATATAATACCCAAATAAGGGCAATTAAGTGTTGCTTTGAGGCGCGTAAGTATTCTATGTGAAGTTTCGCCATGACGAAAACCGTCGACAAACTGATGGAGTTCTAAATTTTCTGGCATCGTTTAATAATTTGTCATGAGTTTTTTGCTTAGCAGGCTAAGAGTAATTTCGATGGACTCCAACAGTGATGCAGTGAGAAAGGCATATTAACTACGTGGTTTTCAAAACAAATCTGCATTAAACCACATTGTTTGTTAATTTAATTTATGTAAAATAAATTATCACTAGCTACACCACCTGGTTCGTTTTCGAAGGGGTTGTTGGTGTAGATGGAAAAATCGATTTCCCWCGTACTATTCGTTCCAGATATGTAATTACGCACAGGAACCTGTTAATGTTATTTTACCTTAATATTATGCCTTTGATAAGAATAGCAGAGAGTTTATAATCATTGTTAACTTTATTAACATTTTTAAGATATTTTAGATAATATTGTCGTCAACACAACATAAACTTTGTATGACTTCCGCATCCTTAACTGAATTTCCCATCGAGATGTAAACTATTATGGCATAAAACCGGTTTCAGATTTGCAAATATTGCTAAACCGGTTACTAACTTGTTATGCTAATCATTAATTAATAACACAAATGATAATGCTATTGAAAATTTACTTTCTTTTAATATATACTTTTTTATATTCAAATTTTCCATGACAAAATATTTTACTAATAAACTAAAAAATCTTGAATAGACGTTAGATCAATGTACACTTCTTAAATATGAAATAATTAATAAATAGTTTTTGAGCGAAACCAAAAATTTAACCATAATTGTTTAGCTATTTGGTATTTACCGACTATTAGGCACTGACATCGCCGAAAAATGGTATGCGTTGCCACTCTCAAAAAYATAATACGTACGTCAATCTAATTTGCTGAAACACTTTATAGCATAAATATTCTAAAAAATGGAGTTTAGGATTACCAGCGMATAAAATGTATAGCTTCCCGAATGCAAAATTTAAAAAATAAAATAAATAAGACAATAAAACACTGCGTAACATTTCGTTTTCTTTCAGTTTGAAAAAAAACAATTTGCTGAAAGAATACAAAGACTAAGCAACTCTGCTTCTGTTTGCCTTCAGCTGTTTGCTATGGCAACATTCACAGTTTGAATAGCACTGATTACGAGGCATTTAAATTTTTAGTTCAAAACAAAAGATATCACAACAAATACTATCTTACGAATTATGAAATATTTTCACAGTTCAAAGTGCTAAAATACAATCAATTGCAATCATTTACTTGTGATTTTACCCATAGATACAATAACAAATAGATTTCGTATTAATAATTATAGACAGAAAAGTGCTGAAAAAGCAAGTGACCAGGATCATGACTTAATTATACCTACAATCCAATAAATAATCACATTTTGAACGGTGCAAAGCATTCATATTTATTTCATAAGGTAAGTTTTATTAGAAAAAGTTCTAGTTACTCGCAATAAAAGCTATAAATACCGCAATACAATAATAAGGGACGACGAATACCGCATCTAGCATTCCTTGTACGCATAACTTCACTTGTCAATCCAAATTGACTGCTGAGATAGTTTAGAAGCCCAGATCGGCCAATACTGCATCTAATTCGGCTTGTAAATTCGCGGCCTTTGCACGTATTTGTGTAATCTCATCTTGTAAATTGTCTACATTGGCCTGTAATAGCACATTGCATTTCTTCATCGCTAGCAGACGGCTTTCATGTTTCTTTAGTCGAGGTTCCAGATTACTCTTCTTATCGGCATTGCTAGCATCCTGTTGTAAAATAGAGCGCATAAACCTTACATTTTTCATTTGTCAAATATAAGTGATTTGTTACCTCGGCTTCGGATTCGCTTTCAGTTTCGGCTTCACTCTCTTCTGATTCTGATTCTTCGGACTCTTCCTCTTCCTCAGACTCTTCTGCATCTTCCTCATTTTCTTCTTCTTCCTCCTGAATTTAAAAATGATGTAATTKCATACAAAATTAAAAAAGGAATATTTATTTTACATATACTACCTTTTCTTCATCATCATCCTCGTCTTCCTCCTCCTCCTTCATGGAAGCAGCCATCTTTTGAACCTCTTTCTCAAGTTTTTTAAACTTTTTATTCTCCTCTCTAAAGTATTAAAAATCCGTAATATTTACATATACATACATAGATGTAGACTGTTTCAATTATTTTACTTACTTGAGTATAGCATGATTCTTCTTCATAGCTTGCTTCAATGCTAATTTTTCCTTTTTAGCTGCTTCACGTTTAACCTTTACCTTTGTTAATTTGCTTCGAAGCACTTTCACTTCCTTTGCCATGCGACGATCGCGCCGTTCCAACTTCTTCTCCTCCGGTTCATCTGGATCACTCTCGCTCATTTCTAAATCTAACTCAGGRGAGCTATCACGACCACCATGCACGTCGCTCGGACGTCGGGATCCATTCAAAGAACCACCTCCCTATTAATTTGAAAAAGCTTTAGTAAGTCTGCATTGTGTCATGACGCTCCATTCAAAGCGTCATAGCGTCATTACCTTGTTAGTAAAGCCATTAGCAAAGTTATCAAAGCCAAAGCATGTTTCTGCATCGTCTGAGTCATCGTATGAATAAAAATATTTAGCTTGTTGTCTTTTAGCGCATATGGGGCATGGTTTGCTTGTTTGTTCGTCCTTTTGCATTTTTTAATGGGGTTATGTTAATAGCGAACGAAAATAAAAAGCTTGCAAATTGTTAAAATTCAATTATGCGTAGAAAATCGCAATTATTTACCAAAAAGCCACAATTCAAATTTTTTTTACTCCCATTTTTGTTTATTTAGCCTCTAAAGCCACTTTTCATGCAACTCACCTGCAAAGCTTGCGCTAATTTGCGCTCCAGCATCTGTATCGTTCGTTTTTGTTCATCAATCTCACTCTTAGCTTGATCAAGTAACTCGCCTGTATCTAAATATTTCTTTTCTAAATCTTTAGCTGTTTTGCGAGCATCATCCGCTTCTTGCTTCAGTGAGTTCAAGTATGCCTCCTCGCTGGCCGTTGTAGGATCCATGGTCGCCACAATAACACGAGAACCATATTCCAGATTCTTTTCACGTGATTTTTCGCGCTCCAATTCCGCTTCTAGTGTAGCTATTTGCGCAAGTAATTTCTTGTTTTCACGATCTTGGGCTTCGCGATTGCGCAGTTCAAGCGCCAACATTTGCTTCGTACTCTGTAGATCATCACGTATTGTGTCAATGTCGTCGAGTTCATCACCGCTTGGATCATCTATCGAAAGTGCGGCCACAATGCTATTTGTTATAGCGGCTGGATCGCTGCTGCCAGAAGCTCCAGCGGCGCCAACAGCTGCGGTAGCAGCCTATTAAAAGACCACCATTAGATATTAGTTACCAAAGTAGGAAAGCTGTATAGTATTTACCTCTGCTAACAGATTAATCTTTGATTGAGACTTTTGAATTTGTTCCTCTATAGTCATTTGTTTACGGAACTTTCGCAAGCCCCCAAGAATAGGTTTACTACGATCGTTCGTTTGTGTGGGCTTTAGTTTAATGCCACCCTGAATTTGTTTAAGCAATTTATTGTGTGAGTTATCTTTTTCAGTTTCGTATATAAACTTATTATCCACTTTCGTCATCGACTTGCATGTAAGAATCGGCTGAGATCTGTGAATATAAAAAATATCAGATGAAGAAAAGAATTTTTTGTTTTACGAAATACGGTCTTTGGCCAAATAGAAACAAGGCTTCCTTCAATATCGTAGAACCGCTGGTTGTGGAAATTGTAGCAGCGCTGACTAAGAAACTTCGTACATGTCAGAACTCTGCACTCCGCCCTAAAACGGAATACCTCTTGATGTCTCTGGTCGAACATTTACAAGGTGAGGAACATATCGAACTTCTCTCCAAGCATTTTCTGTTGTGGTGCTTTCGCAGAAACCGTTGCTGTAGTTGTTAGCTTGAAGCGGACATATAATACAACGAGTCCCCGCATAACTGTAAACATTTCAGCTAAACCCACTCATCTAAAGTCCGGCTCCCTGAGGGACTGCAGCGCATATATACAGGCAAACGAAAAGACGGACTTTTGGATGAAGTCAACGGCAACTTAACAAATCCTTACCATCCTAATGGGGGATTAGGTACCCGTTACAACAACAACGTATATTGCTAAATCAACTCAGTTCGTCACGTCGACTAATCATTTATAAACTATACGTATGTATATACTTTATACAGTGTCCGATGTTTTCTGCTGATTTTTAATAACTTCGTGGCAAACCCAGCTTCTTCGGGTTATAAAAGTAAATTTTTCYCAAGAAATTTCCGCTTCGTCTATTAGCCTCATTATTCGCGCTGATTACCTKCATTAACATTTTTCAACTTACCTGTCATTGCATTCCACATGGCGCAATTTCCTTCCAGACTCCACCTCCTTCATCATTTCTGACCAGTCTGGACGCCTGCGCGGTCGCGTCCTAGACAGCGCACACACAAATTACAGAAAGAAAAATTAATAATTTATGCAATTCACAATTAAGTCATAAGTTATGCAAATAAGTAATGCCGCCAGCAAATTCATTCGACTTACTTAAGCTTTTCTAAGGTGACCTTTTGTGTTTCTGTTAGATTTCGCTTCTCGCCAGGAGCGCCCAATGGTGGCGGTGGTGGTGGTGGTGCTTTGGGCACCAGTGATGGCAGCGGTGGTGGTGCGGGAACTGCACATCAAAGTAATATTTGGTCCAACSGGGCAGGTGGTGACGCACACGAATGCATAATGAGAGAGTTGGAGRGAGAAAATTAAGAAGATTTTTTATTCACTGTGCAGCATAGATAAGTCGAAAGTAAATTGCAATRGTAAGAAAGTGAAATATTTAATGAGGTTACGATTGCATGGTTGTATTGCAGTAATTTGATTCTCTGGTGGCRTAAGCTAAGGTGCGTTTTCCTAACTACCAACATTCATTTCAAAGTACGCTCTCTTTTTGCAACGATATTTCCTCTTCATTTGTGCCAGTACAACGGTTGTGCGTTAACTCAACAGATACATAGCAGGCAGTGTTATTGCTCTAAGGGGAGCAGCAAAGGATAGCCGACGCCCGGCTAGTTGTGGCTGGAGTAGTATTTGTATTTTGTGGCTTGAAGTCGGTGCACATTTTGCTCTTGAAACGGCATCACTTGGCATTTGTTAGAAGCTGCGCACAACTGATTCACTAGCTTATGCTTAAAAGTTAATTGGCGTGGCAAAAGGTAGCCGAACCGATGTAATTGTAAATTATTTAGCACAGCTCTTAGAAAAATATGWAATGCGAAAGCGATTTTTCGATYCTATTGTTTCTTTTTCMTTGAGAGTGGTTACTATGTGGCGGATCCCAAACTCCATGGACAACCTCGCTAGACGAGAGCTTTATACTCATTTATATAGTGAGCCGCGAGAGCGACGTCCGCTGGCAGCCGCACCTTTGGCGAACAAAGCCGTAATCCCAGCCCAAACAAAGGTTTGTCTAACGCATTTTAGACAAGTTACGAAGGGTGCGTGGTGAGGACGCAAGAGTAGGAGTTCGGTATAGTTCTACAACTGTAACTGCTTACCCAGAAGCATAGCTATACCCGATTACACCCCAGTTTTACTGGAAAGAGAACAGTACCCGCCGATAAAAGCAGCGGATGAGGAAGGCCTCTACTCCGTTGAAGAGATTAGGTGGAGAAGGACCTGGCTGCACTTTGAATCTATCAACAACTATAATTGTGTAAGCGATGTCTACGTCAGTAAAGAAGAAGCATWAGGTCCTTGAACGGTCATTTACGGTAAACCAGTTGAAGGCATGCAAGTAGTGTCGTCGTAAATCGCGCGTAAATCGAAAAAATTTGTATATTTGCTTCAAAAATTTTCCTCTACATACTCTCGAAGTTTTTAGTAATTGATGCTCTAGTTTTTTTTTGAATTTTCAAAAATTGCCTTAATTTTAAGGGGTTACGTGGGTTTACGGGTTTTTAAAAATCGAACTTTTACCTCAAGAATATTGTCCTAAATTTTAAGTTGATTCGAGCAGTAGTTTCGGAGATACAGCCTTGAGAACTTGTGCGCTTGGCGATAACTAGGCTAAGCGCGCCGTCTTTAAACGCGTTTTTATCGATACTGTGTTTTTGAAGAAATTATTCAAGAGCTACTCAAACGATCTTCATGAAATTTTACACATGTCTTTGAGATACAATTCTTAAAGACTTGGTCGAAAGATTTTTTTTCGATTACAACTATTCGAAAAAAAAAAATGTATTTCTTCACTTTAGATGATCCTGTAAGGAGTTATCCTGCCAACACGGGCGTATCGTCCTTCCGAGGGATCACCGGAAAAGGCGTCGCAATGGCCGAGTTTAAAATATTTTTTTTTACCAAAAATTTTAGAATTTCTTTGTTAATGGTGTATGTTTCTAACAAAAAAAAAATTCTAATAAAATATTAAATTTTTTATGTGAGAAAAAAATTGCTGAAAAAGGGCTGTTTTTTACCCGAGGAAACCCATGTAACCTCTTAAGCTGTCACTCTAAGTGAGCCCCTTAAATGTTTAACTATGCAAACCTCCTTGTTCGAAAGGACCTTGTTATATCTTCTTTACTGGTCAATTACTTTGGTAACTCATTTATTGGTTATTGATTAGTTTACCGTTATTTTGCACACAATTACTTTCATTGCCTTTCAGTTACTACGTGCCATAAGCGAGTTCCAAACATTCATATATTCTCCACTCGCCGCTTAAGCAATGCCTTCATTTTAAATATTATGCAACAATGAGTGTTTCTCACTTACTCTTTTGGCCTAATGAAGTGTTTGGCGCTAATTTTGTTCAAGGTCATACATGGCAAGTGTGATTTCTATGCGCATACTTACACAAATATTTTAAAAAGCAGCAGTTGCTCTATGTTTTTTTAGTGAAAACTGGTTTGGGGTTCAAAATAATTCAATTATCTTTAATTCGTGTCGGTGCGTTCATTCAAGAATACGCCTAAAATGCCGCTAATTAGCCTTATGCKAAAAGCCCTCAAACAAAGGCAGATTATTCCGTTTCCAACGCTTTCCGTGATTTTCATAATTTTATTGTTATTATTGTATTTCGTGTATTTTTATTCGCTGAAAACCGAATTGTCCTYGYGCTGGTGATGCGCCGCTCCCTGTGTTCYCGCTGCCCGASTGCGTTACGGCATTAGGCTCAGTTGTGTTTAACTTTACAATGAGAATTTTGTTGTTGCAGCGCGCCTGCGGCGGAAACAACGCCTACGTCACCCCCGCTGTTGCAATAAGCATCATTTAGGCGAATGTCGCTTTGATCACACACTTACTTACACTGCAAATGTATGTACGTCGTAGGCGACTGGCAACCTTGTTATCTGCCGCGAGATGCGCTCGTCGCATTATTATGTAGCAGAGGCTTTGAATTTTTATTTCGAGTTTCGTTAATTTCAGCCAAAGCCAACAAAGCGAGGAACTTTGCTTTGTTTATTTTKTCGGAAGTTTTCTCACAGTGAGGTGCTCGAGCTTTTTGTTCAATTCCTCACCAGATTTTGTGCCTGCTACCAGAAGGCTTGTCTTTGCCTTTTGCTTTGTTCGTTTTTATTTGAGTACTTTTCGTTTTTCGTTAAAACATTGTTAGAGTGCAGAGGGAMAGCGGGTAGCTTAAAGTACTCATCCTCATCCTTCCTATAATAATTATGTTAAGTCAAAGCTGATTCGCAAGGAAATCTTGAATATATAAATTCTCTCTAAATTTTATAGTGTGACGATCACCACTACTTATACTTATTAGGAATCTCTAGGTTAGAAAAGTTGAGAACGCCAGTCAATTGTGACTCTCGAAAATTGGCAAAGCGCTTTTAGTTTGGCACATATGTATTTGTTCACGCGGCTTGTATCAGTTTCGGCTATTACGGCAGTTTCGCYGAAGATATGACTGCCGAGATATTCCAACCTCAATCTTGCAAAAGTTCGATAAACAAAATGAAAGCGCCTGGATGTTGCCACTTAACTGTTCTCTATACCACATTGATATGCCTAATGAACAGTGCTCAGCAAGAACTGAGAGCAAGTAGTTAAGTGGGCCAAAAGAATCTCGCAATCGCACAGAAGTTGGTTTTTGACAATGTTAATACTCACATTATCAGGCTCCCAGACGAGTCTGATAATGATATTGATTACTTCCCTATCAGGTCTTCTAATAATCTTAATTTTAATTTTTGTTGAATAGTATATACATAGCTCCTTCAATAAACAGCTGCTTTACTTAGAAAATAATTTAGTATGAAACCTATCAATCACATTTCATACGAGTTTAGGACATGAGATAAACRGTTCAACTTCTTAACCTTCGTTTTGTACCTTTTTTTCAAAACTTTGCTTCTTCTTCTTTTTTTTGGTACTACAATCGTGTTTCGGTTTAGCTCGAGAACAAAAAACTTCGCTAGTTGCCTCTATACATTGTGCGATAACACTTTTTGTATATCCACAGTGCAGACTGATCCCTGTATGCTTGGTTCTTGCATTGAGTGAGTGGGCATCCTTGCTTCCGCTTTCCACCCACGTCGGGTCTCGAATAAAAAGAGCTTATTCCTGGTGCATAATTTTCCATGCGTACAATATGTAATAACTAGCACATTCTTCTTCATATCCATGTCGCCGTGGTTGCACTTCTTCGGTACTCAAAGCCCACGCGAACGACACCAAAAACTTTACGGAGAAAAGTTCTCTCAAATGCTTCGAGTACTTGCTCATTTCGGTTCGYCATCGTCCATGTTTTTGGGCCGTATAATAGGTAGGGAATGATAAGAGATGTGGAACATATAGAGTGTAATAGAGAGTTATGGAACATAATTTTTGTTCGTCCAGAGAGGCACCTGCTTCTCAATTGTCTATCGTTTGCAGTTTGTTTGAGCTATTCTGCGTTTGATCTCTAGGCTYAGATTGCTGGTATTTATGCTGATTTGGAGTTAAATTAAATTCAGTGTTCAAATTTCTAGTTGTCAATAGGAAAGTAGTTCCCAAGACGCGCGGAATCTTTGTTTGCATCTTTAAGGTACTTTGTCTTGTCCTCGWTCACCTTKTGATCAACCTCTTTCGGTTSTTTTTCCAGCTCGTTAAAGACTATGCTCGCCAGCTCTACTGTTAAGGCTAGCGATTACATAATGAAGAAACACTCATACAGATTTAAGCAAAAGAAATTTAATTAATTTTAATAGAACTTCTTCTGTTCAGAAATAACTTCCAAAAAAAAAAAAGAGTGCGTATTGTTTTCACAATATCAGACACGCTGGCGACGACGTGCCACTCTCAAAGCGCTCCACAAAGTAATCAAAGTTAAGTTTCCAAATGCAAATTACAAATAGTGGAAAATTTTACACTTCCAATTTCTTGGTGATACTAGGTAAGTATAACTGTTACCGCACACAAGTACTTAAAGAGAACGACAGAATAGTAGACTGCTAATAATAGACTTTTAAGTAATGAAATTCAGTTCACTGCCACCRAGCAACAACCGAAAGCATATTTTTTATTCATACAAAATCGCCGCAAACCGTCAGAAATGCAAAGAAGTTCGCCGCGCTGAAACCGAGGGGAAGTGAACAAGTGGTGAAGTGAAGCTGTTGCTAGGGTACTTGAGCTGGTGTGCAAGTATGCTCCTATGTAGTGGTGAGTGGTGGCGTCCTTTGAAGACGATCGTTAGCATAA